CCCCTGCTCCCCAGCTCCTCTCCACTCCCTGAACTATGTTCATCCTTTTCTGTACTACCAGATCACCTTGTCATTGCCTTCTTGCTCCCAAACCCTTCAGGATTACCCCTGTGTCACTTTCTTAACACCACCTTACTAGCTTTCTAGTTGCTTAAGCACAGGTACAGTTTTTCTTCCTCCCCTCCCTTCCTGAGCTGCAGGACCTCAGTGCAGGCTTTGGAGCAAGAGGTTTTCTCTAAGTGGCAGTTTGGGCTCTTAGCAACTGCCTGAGGCTGTTTGACATTGAAAAGTACCAAACTCTGTGGCCTTTAGCATCCCCCTTCCCTTGCTCAGCCCAGCATCTCAGGCTGGGACGTACTGCACTGACTTCCAATGCAGAGCCATTGGTGAAAATCTGCTGCTTACAGAGATCTGTCCTCTCTGATACTTTCATGTCTGAGTCTGTCTCTGCAGAACTTGCCATGCTTGCTGTGTGTCTCTGTCCTTTGCTCTTGGGGTAAAAGGGCTTAAACCATGCAGCCAAATCTGCCTTCCTTTGTTTCTTATCTTCTGTTTGGGAGAACTGTTCTCCCCAGTGGCATTTCTCCATCCTTCATCCCTGTGCAGTGGGGCTGGGTTTGTCGATGCAGCCTGCTTGAAAGCCCAGCAGATGCAAAACATGAAAGCCTTAGGTGAGAGTTGCTGGTTTGTTCTGCATGGTTGTCCTTGCTGCGAGACAAGAGCTGAATTAAAGCACAATTGCTTCTTAAACCATCCTCTGCCCAGATTCACTTCGTCTCCCAAATGTAACTGATGTTGGCTGTTCTCCCTCATGCTAATTCTGTGGATCTTGTGCATGCTGATTCCTGAGCATAGGCATCCATCCACTGTGCTACAATAAGGTGCCATTTATTGCACATCTTTATCTGCATCAGACATTCCACATGGTTTATGCAGCACTCTTTGATTTCTGTGTTTGTGTTGCTGTGTGGATCTCTTTCTATAACCTTCTTTTCCAGCAATGTTAAATTATCCTGCAGAGGCTTACCTGGCATCCACGTGTGATTACTGCTGTGTTTCCAGCCTACCTCTTTTCAGCTTTTTCTTGAAAAACTTGGGGGGGGGGGGGTTGAGAAATCCTATCTTTAGATAATTGGGTTATTCTTTTTTTTTTCTTTTCCCTTTGTATAGGAAAAGGATTACAGAATAGAGAGGATAAGACTAGCAAAGTGAAAACTTAAGTGAAGATTTGATGATAACTGAGCTGCTCTTATAGCATCATCACAAAGTTGGAAGACTTCAAAAAAGCATAAGGGGTTCTTTGTTTTGTTTCCAAGTCTCTTCACAGTTTGCCTTGAGGAAATTTTGGTCAGTTCCATATCCTCTGCACACAAAAAGAGCATAAAGAGCTGTGTATGGAGTTTCCTATTTGGAGTAAACATGGCAATCCTATATTAGCTGTGTAGGAGCACCCTAGCCTATGAAAAAGTCCCTTGTGAACCAGAAATAACTGATCTCCCAGCTTTCAGGCTCATAAACCTGCTGGCAATGGAGTTTCAAAGGGTGACATACTCGAAAGCAGAGCTGTTTCTTGGATGGGCAGAGTTGGGGACTTTTCTTCAGATACCCTCTTTTTTCAGGGCATCAGGGACAAGCAGGTAGGCAAATATCATGATGTTCCTCTTGAAAATGAGGCTACATATGGTTAGCAAAACCCCTAAAAAAATCATCTTATTAAATACAGAGTTGGATACCTGTGTGCTGAAGAAGGCTCGTTTAGTTATAGAAACCAGCATCTGTATTTGAGAAAATACGATAAAATACGTAACAGAACTTGATTACTGAAATAGTTAGTATTCTGTGCACTGTGATTTGGTAGACTGACCTAGGAGGATGTCAAATAATAATGCCCACTATGTTAGGCAGGAGAACTGCTCTGTGAGAGCAGAATATCTTATGCTGTCCCTTATTTGTGCTGGTGAAAGGATGAGTTTCCATTTTGTTCTCAGCAAATGGGTGAGGGGTGCACTTTCAGTGGAGAAGATAGAGAAGATAGCTCAAAATGTATGTACTCTCTTTGCATGTAATTTCTAAGATTCCTTAGACATGTGGAGCAACCCAGATTCCTTCATATCTCATCTTCAACTGCTGCTGCTTCTAGGATCTAGCTTGGTCTTAGAAAAACACAACAAAATCCCTTAGATTCCATTATCCTTCTCTAAACTGGTCTTTTTCTACTGGCAACTTGTCGCCTTCACTGTGTGCCTCCCCTCCCTTCCCTCTGTTACTGCATACAGTGCTGCTTGCTGCCTCTTCTTAAAACAAGTGCATATTTGTTTTCCTGTGACCTGTGGATGTGGTATATTATACACTTAAGCTTATAAACATGTGGAGGGTAACCCTTAAACCTGCAGAACAAGGCTGCTGGTTTTGATGGGTTTTATTTAATTTTTTTTTTTTTTTTTTTACACTTGGCTTTGATAGGCAGTAAACCTGGTCCTAGGTGTTCTCTTGCTTGGGTGCCCTGTAGGAACCTCCAGAGGCACAGAGCTGCCTGGCTTCACTTGGCTGACCATCCTGATGCTGTTCTGTTAAAGTTCTTGGTGTGCTCCTCAGCTGATTTGGGTCTAAACCGGCTCACCTCGAACACAGTGCTGAACTTTGTCATGGGTTTGGTGGCCAGTTCCTTCAGTTTCCGGGCGTCAAAACGTGGCTTGTGCAGAAGGATGGGCAAGCGGCGGGGAAGAAAGAAGCTTTCTTCCTTCCGTGGCTTCTTCTCTTCTGCTTGCTGCTTTGTCTCCTTGTTGAGTGTCACCTGGTATAAAATGGCATCCCACATTTTCATGGCTCTCGATTTAAATGCCATACAGTCTTGGCTGATGACTGCTTGAGCAGTGTCCTCTTTACTCCCTTCCTCCTGTTCCAGCTTTTCTGGCTTGGGCTCTGGGAAGCTGGGTGCCTCTGGCTGCACCATCAAATGCTTCTTGAGGCGATGCCAGCCACTGGCACTGGTTCCAGGTGGTCTTGCTGCTTCTGCTGATGATGGTGCTGGCTCAGCTTTGAGAGGAAGGCTGGGGCTGGGTAAGCTGGGGCTCAGCTGAGTTTGAATGATGTGTTCTGCCTTGGTGTCTGTGGAGGTGGACCCAGTGCCATCAGCTGGTGCTGGACTTGCTGTTGCTGGGCGTGCCTGCCTCCAGGGAGCACTGGATGTTGATTGCTTTAGGATGTCTCTGTCTTCCTTGGGTAATTCAGGAGCTGCCTTTGATCCAGATATTTTGGTGTCACTTCCATGAGCTGTAGGCATATTGGTGTGGGCATCAGAGGTGCTGGGCTTGGGTGAAGGAGCCTTGATGGACTCTTCAATAGGATCAGGTTTGGGAGCTTGATCAGGAGGCTCTGTGTCTGCAGCAGGAAGGAGGGGAGGTTCCAACAAGGGAAGTGTGGCTTTGCTGTCATCAAGTGAGGTGGGTATGTGCTCTGGGGATGGTTCAGAGCAGCTTGTTTGAAGTGCTGGGGAAGAAGGCCTTGTGTCTTCATTGCTTACAGTTCCTTGTGTCAGGTTTGATGTGGGAGTCTTAGCCCTGGGTGGCTTGACACTGTGGAAATAAGTGTTCACCTTGGTGACATAGGTAACCTCTGGCGCCCTTTCTTTACTGGAAGGAGGAGGCTGGGGGAAAACAGATATCAGTGGGTCACATGGAGAGGGAAGGTGGGAGCCCATGTCTTCAGGCTGCTGTGTAGTCTCAGGAGCCTCTGGTTTGTGTAGCAGGGGTATGGCTGAGGAGGTTGTGAGAAGGACATGTTCAGCAATGCGCCTCTGCTCAGTGACCTTCAGTGTGAAAGGCTTGCTCTTTCGGAAAGGGGAGGGGGCGCGCTGGTTGATGGGCCTGATGGAGATGTGAGTTGGCAGGCTGGTGGATGGAGGTGCTGTAGTTTCAGGGGTCTCTGCTGGGGTAGTACTTTCATCGTACTCCTCTTGGTCAGGGCTGGCCTCGTTCACAGGCGAGAGGCTGGACCGGAAGGACTTGGCTTGCTCTGAAGCAAAGACAGCATTCTTTTTGGCTGCCTTTTTCAGCAGCCGCTGGAGTCGCAGGTTGTCCTTCCCAGGCTTTGGTAGGGTGGGAGGGGGAGAAAGGTGGTGGTGGATGGGAGCAGGCTGGATGGAGGATGATACTGTTATCAGCATTGTCATTTCCTGTGAAAAAAACCCAAAGTTTAGAGTTGGTGTGGGCTTAGCCCTGGGCTAGGTTCTGAAGCACTCATACATAAGTCCTCCTCCTCCTCTCTCTAAAAGCTATGAGTATGGAGTCAGTACTGTGGGAGAAGAGCATCGGTCTTGGTTTCCTTACTCTTCTGGCATAACCTCAGCCAGTCTTGAGGGTGGGTGTGGCAGGGCAAGAAATGTACTGGGGGAAGCTGTATTGCCAAATCTGGAGCTCTTCCTCTCCTGGCATTAGCACAAAATCCACTAAGAGCTCTTTGGGACCCCAGATGTCCGTGCCCTGGCAAGTCCTAGTGGGATTGGGAAGGAAACGTTGAGGGAAACAAAGTGGGTCTGAAATCTTGAAGCTTTGAAACATCTCCAGAGGCACAAAACAGGAATGTTTCATGGCTTTCCAAATTTTGGTTATTAATACTCTGATACAATATTACATACAACAGAACAGTCATAAATTACATGTGACATTTGAGTCAAAGTCAACACTTGCCCTGATTGATTTCATCTGGCATGAAGACACCCCTGTGAAATGCAGGGCTTCTCAAAAGCTGTGTTTATCACTGAGAAAGTTCTTTGTCACAGCACTAACTTGGACTGATCTTTTCTTACTGCATGTAGCATGGGGCAGATCTTTCCTCCTGCACTCCCTTCTAGATAAAACCAAGTTTTCTCTTTCCCTTGGAAAGCTTTGCCACTTTATCACTTACTATTTACTGTTACTATCCTGCCTTTATCATTTACTATTCTGTGAAACAGAAGTGGCTTGTGGTCTGAGTCAGGTCTTATCTCCAGTGGCAATTTGTTTGCCCTTTGGCCAACACTGGGCTGCTCCTACGGGGATGCATGACTGCTTTTCCTGCTCTCTGTAGCTAACTCACCACCATCTCCTCTTCTCTCTGGTGAGCACTGCTCAGATTTCCTGACAATGGACCTAAGAGACTGTATTGGGGATAGAAAGATAAAACTACTCTCAGTTCTCCCCTTTCTCTTCCTGAGCAAGCTGTGAAGCACCAAACACTCAGCCTCTGACCTGCAATGACTTTTTGGAAGCCCCTAGAAAGAAATCTGGCTCTATCCTGGCTCTTGCTCAGCACAGAGTTGCTGAGTTTTGCTGTGAAATGAGGCATAAATCACTGAGCTCCTTAGTCCCTGGTGGTGGATGCAACTGAGCATCCTGAAACAAGGGAGAGGAGGCTGGGGTGATGTCAGGCTTGCTCATAGGGGCTATTTATTGTATGTGCTGTGCTTGGTTCCTGGTGGCTCCCAACCTGCTCTGGTTAGTGTGGATGTGTAGCATGATACCTCCTGTGTGGGAAAACTATCCTGAATCAAACTCTCAAAAGTGCAGAACAGCTATTTGTGCTTCAGTGCCTGGTGTTAGCTTTGGGTTTGCAGTGCTGCTGTCAGCATTGGGCTGGGAAGGTGATCTGTACTGAGCAAGCAGGTGGTGTATCTGCCAAAACTGGTTGTGAATCAGCAGAGAAGGGTGACTTAGAAAAAAAAGACAGCAGCAAATACAAACACTGAAGAGGTGGCATGTAGTGCTCAAAAGCTTTGAGACCAACCCCTCACCGTGGTGGATGAGCTGTGCCCCAGAGCAGAGGCTGTGGTGGGCAGGTTCTTGGCAGTGTCTAGCAAGTGGTGCACTCAATGCAGGAAGGACATGGATCTGTTGAAGCAAGTCCAGAGGAGGGCCACAAAAATGATCAGAGGGATCAAAGACTCCTATTAGGACAGGCTGAGAGAGCTGGGGTTCTTCAGTCTGGAGAAGAGAAGGCTCTGGGGAGACCTTATTGTGGCTTTTTAATATGCAAATAAGAAACATAGGGATAAAGTTTTTAGTAGGGTATGTAGTAATAGGGTAAAGGGTTACAGTTTTAAACTGAGATATTTAAGACTAGATATAAGGAAGAAGCTTTTTTTATGGTGAGGGTGGTGAAACACTGGAACAGGTTTCTCGGAGAGGTGGTGGATGCCCTGTCTGTAGAAACATTCAAGGTCAGGTTAGATGGAGGTCTGAGTAGCTTGATCTAGTTGAAGATGTCCCTGCTCATTGTGTGGGCATTAGATTAGGTGACCTTTAAAGGTCCTCTTCCACTAAAGGTCCTATTCAAACTATTCTATGATTCTGTAACTTATTTTGGCTGCAGGCATGAGAAACCTTCTGCAGTTTTGGTGAGGGGGCTTGGAGGGGATTTGTGCCAGCTGGGGGTGACAACTGTCAGGCATTCCCAGTGTTTTATCAACTTCGTGCTTTAGGCACAAGGCTGGGATTAGGATTTTCTTTGTTCCAAGAGCTACTCTTAGAAGCAAGTCTGCATGGTCCCCAAAAAAGGCTGAGACCCCATTCTTCCTCATATATCTGCTCTCCTCCCCAATTTCATGGCTATTTTACATTCTTCTGGGTCAGAAAGCCAAAATGTCTGCTGGAGGGGTATGTGAGGGTTTGTTTGTTTGTTTGTTTGTTTTGTTTGTTTGTTTGGGATTTTTGTGTTTTGTTTTGGTTTTTTTTTGCCTTTTTTTTTTTTGTGCAATGCTACTCTGGCTGTGTTTGTCTCGAAGTTGCCAATTGCTTGATGAGTTTTTTGTGCTTTCTTTCTAAATCTGCTGAAGGGTGAGCAAGTACATGCATCTGATGGTAGGATTTACTGTGGAATGATTTAATCTGTTCCTGTTTAATGTGGTCCCGCGGCCAGCCTGTCCTACGAGATGAGCTATGGTGTAGCAGCACCGTTAAACCAGATTTATAAGGTTGACCTGCTTCAGGCTTGTATTGAGAATACTAAAGAGGCAGGGCAGTGAACTTCCCAACTACTGATCAGCTCTTTGAGTGCTTTGCTTGTCCTATGGACTGCTGCACGCCAGAAAAATGCAGCTTCCCATGTGAGTCAGAGAAGGATCTTGCCTGGGACTTGCTGCGAACTGCCAGATGTTACAGAGGAGAGCATGGGGATTCTTGGAGTGGGAAGTTTTGGATACAATATGCATACACGAGGAAGATTTTCCTTCTGTTCCCAAAGTTTTGTGCCCTATAACATCAAGATTCGTTCTCTTATAGTAGTCTGTGCTCTTAAAATCACTCCTGCTACTGTCTCAGCATTCAATCTGACTTTAAACCTGCTGTAGTGTGGGTCTTGGAGACCTTG